TATTCGTGCATCATCACCACAACCAACGTTCAATACGTGTCGCTAAAGCTACCTGAATGGTAGCGTCATGCCCAAGTTCATCACGCTTGCTGAGACACGCGTTAATCGACGTATCGGTATGAGGAAAAACGATGGCAGCTGCGCCGTCTATTAGCTTTCTGGGATAGTAAGGCGTGCCGCTTGTACAACGCTAGATCGATGGCTGAGGTTTTCGTGACACAGAGGCTCACCAACAGCATGCATAACGTAACCAGCTACGTCTTCCATACACTGCGAGACCAGTCAACGACAACCAACACAAACTGCGTATCGTAGGAAGGCAACAATAATCAAGATACGCCGAGGCCTTTTCGTGATCTTTTGTGATCTTTGAATGGCAGATACTGCGAGGACCACGCTGCTGTACACGGGCACAAATGCGCGTTCTGGGTCGCACAACCGCCCTGCGGAAACAATCGCGAGGACAACAGGCTAACGTGCACAGCACACAAGGCACAGGAGGACGAGTTCAACAGAAGGAACCGACAGGTTACGTGGACTGCTGCACAGCGAGCGCGCTTCTTGGACCAGGAGGTGTCGTAGAATCAACGCATGCTATGCCCACCCCCCTTTAGGACGAAACAGCAATTTACGACGAAACGTTTTTGATGTGGGGTTTCTGCATAAACAACCATCGCGGCGGTGGCATACTCCGTGATTGGTTACCGACATGATATCGTCTTTACATCACCAGAGGCTTCTCAACTACCTCTCAAGTACGTGTTTCGTCGTGAGTCTAAAGAAGAGTAATTAAAGGGGAGGCTCTGGACTTCTTCGAAGGTACAGGGCTGCTTGGGGTCCTCCTCCTTCATCTGGCCCGTTTTACAGAACCCCTCCTTTCCCCTTGAATTTTTTATTTTGGTAGTTTTTTTTTGGAAAACCGCTCCGATAGGGGTGCCGGTTTTGCTTCAGCAAGAACAAATGTTAGAGGTACTCCCGTACGTGATGTGTGCACGTTCCAATCTAAAAACTCTCGCACAAGCGCCGTGGCTTTTGCATCGACTGCCCCTCTGCTTCACGGGCGAGAAATACCCACCTCTACGTATTTCCTTCAACAGGGCAAGCTATTTTACCCTACACTCTACTCCTAACCCCACCACAGCTACAGGACAATAGGCGCGTTCCGGCCGGGATGAACCCTCCGACATGGGTTCTCAGGCGAGGACGGAACGCGCCCGGCAGACGACGCGAACGTTTTTTATCACACCGCATGGACTTGAGACAGAAGGTCCACACACCAACATCAGTTGAGGGTGTACATCACCATGTACTCCAAGAATACACTGTAGGAGGGCCTGCGATGGAAGCCCACCTGACACCGCAGGCTTCGGGTTTAACCTATTTTGAACGTGGCGGTATCGAATGTATCATAACGAATCTGGCGCGCATGGGAGCAGCCGGACTTAAGCCACTTGATCGGCACCATCACAAACCCCTAGCTCCCTTGTCACTGCGTGCGTGTGTGTGCCGACAACATAGCCTGAGGACATGAGGATGCTCCGTGCAATTCTAGGAAGGAAGAGCAGCTGGGGGAGTCTCCGCGAGCTGGTCTTGCGGAATCATCTGCGGGATAGTGCCCCTCTTGGAGGCGGAAGGATGTGCCGATGTGGACGCGGCCCTGAAACATATTTTTCCCGATGAGGATCGACGCCCGACCATCCTCTTTTACGATAAGGCCTGCGTTCTGGACCGCTACCTGAGCGGCCGAGGGGATCTGTCCTGGGTTGGAACGATGCTGATCGTCGACCGGTACGTGACACGTGGGCCTGTGTTTCCAAAGCACCCGGGGCAAGTCAACGAGAGACTACGTACACCTCGGCCTAAAGTAGGGCGTGCTCCCTGTAAGTAAGTCACTCACAGCAGCAGGTCGGGCGTTCTAAGTTGTAGTTTGCGGGGCGTTGGGGGTGACGTGTACAGTGTGTCCGAACTCCAACTTGGAATGAAGTACCGTCGTCGAACACATACCCCGGCCGTACCCAATACCCGTGTTGTGCGCATATCGTTACTGTGGACGCCGGCAGGTTCCATTATCGGGGCCATACGGAGCTTGCGTGCTCTATCCTCAACAACCCAAACCACTACAACAACCCTCTTCTGTGGAACTTGCAGCAAGACCCACCCGAGTTCTACTGGAACTCCTCCATCGCCGAGTCCAACAACGGGTGGCTAAGCGGTGCGTCAGATACACCCTGCGTCGAACCAATAGCAGTTTCTGGTTAACACCGTCATTACAGCCCCCCGTTGATGTCTTTTACTCGCTGTCTCACTCGTAATCCGTGTTGTTTCATCCATTAAGGCTAAGTACCTCCAACTACGTTAACTACCCACACTTGTTCTGAAACGCATGCCTCTCTTGCTGACCAGGGTTTCGACATGTACTCATGCGCATACCAAAGGTGCCGAACCGTTTCGTCTTGGACAACAACATCTGCTTCAAGAACGAGCTCCTGCTCACCAAAAAGCTGTTGTCCCAGCACCCGACCTTTGACCGTTAGCGAAGCACGTACAACACATACATCCGGAACGGCAGGTTGTACACGTCAGGAACCGCACAGCTCCCGCTGTCATCTTTTTCGTCCTCCTACGGTGTGTCGAGAGTGGGCCAACATTCCTACCGATCCGAGTTCCCTGTGCTCTCTACCTAGCAGAGAGGAATTCCACCCGCACAGATGTCCTGGGGTGATGGGCTGAAGGATGCACTTGGTTATGGTTACACCATTCGCGCTGCCTAATGGGGCTGCTTTACGTACATTCGAGCCGTTTAGGTTGCTTCCTCTTATCTAGCTGCGTCATGTCACTTTGATCGGCGACGTTTCTTACTACAGTGGGTTTATTACAGAATGGGTTGACGTTGTTGTCGTTTTTTTTTTTGTCCTATTGCACGGTTGGCATTGTAAATTGCCAACGTTTCCCGGTATGGGTTTCCTTCCTGGCGGGAGTGTTGTCTGTTCTCTGGACGATATGTGCCGTGCGTATGTCAACATCGTGGTTCCGACTTCTTGTCAATATCTTGGTTCCGACGAAACCTTTTTTCCTTGTTGCGTCGTACACAGCGTAACGACGATATTTTACGATGCCCGATACGGATTCGTGGTGAAGGTGTCGAGCGTGGATTTTCTATGGTGCTGTGTTTGGCTTCATATATTTTTTCACAACATCGTTTTTTGTGGCGTCATTACGTATGTTAGTGTTTCCTTCGTGGTTCTTCAGGACCGAGCCAAATAGTTCCGAATATGGGGCATATACAGCAAGGGGTAAGGGATTCAGGTCGTGGCAGAAGCGACCCCGCCCCAAGAAGCGTAAGGGGGTTTCAACCACGTGGACGCGAGATGGTCACGACATACCGGGTTTCATATCGTCGCCGAAGCGAACCCGCAGGCCAAATGGCGTTCTGTTCCCTACTTTATTTATCTCTCCCCGAGGTAGTATACACGCATTCGTGCGTGCCCGTTCAGGTGACAAAAGGGTTTCAAACCACACCCGAAGCTTTCCCGCCCCGCGGTACTCTTCATTGCGTCGGGGTTTTCCGTTTATTTATTTGTCTCGGTGCAGATGTTTGATACATTCGCCCATAACCAAGTGAAATTACCCCGTGGGTACCCACGGGCACCATAGACAATGCCCATGGGTACCCATGGGTTCCCACAGGCAATGCCCATGGGTACCCATGGGTTCCCGCAGACAATGCCTATGGGTACCCATGGGTTCCCACGGGCAATGCCTATGGGTGCCCATGGGTACGCATGGGTATTGCCCGTGGGTACCCATGGTGACTCATGGCCACATACATGGTGACCCATGGGCACCCAAACTGATGCCTAACGCTAGCCCATAGTCGTCACCGTGGGTAGCCACCGGCACCCGTGGTGATAACAGTGGGTAGCGATCCATTGGTATCGGTGGTGTAGCACCCTACGGGTGCCGACGGGTATTCATGATGATCACCACGGGACCTATTCGTCCCGACTAAGGAAAGACGACACGTTTTGGAGCTTTGAAAACAACTAAACCCACCGTACCGTTTAAATCTGCAACAAGTAAGTATGATGAAGAGACCTGCCCAAGGCCTCGGCGTGCGTGTGCACTGTACGAAACACGGGAGATGCGACAACGCCCTCCTCAGCGTCGCGCCGTGGATCTGGGTGAGCCTAGCGCCGTGGATCTGGGTGAGGCCACACTGACGCGCTTTCCTCCACGCCCACACCAAGCTTTAGATACCTTCCTTTCTTTCTTTACATTCTTGCGCCGAGCTGGAATAATGCTGGACTCACTAACTGCTGTGCTGTGAGCCTCCCACGGAACCTTGGGTGTACCACCTCGCTGCGGCCGCGCCTTCGTCGACCCCGCCTAATCGATGTTATAGAGTACGCTTAGTCTTGGTACCCGTTGTGATCCCCGTCGTGGTGAAAGCCATTACGGTCCCCCGTGGGCCGTGGGTGGCCGTGGGTACCCATGGGTATCCATGGGGCGTGGGTACCCATGGGCACGAATAACGATAGTGTATATGATTGAATGAACGGCACTAACTAGTGCTGTGAGCGCTGATTTGAAGTGAAGAACAAAAAAAAAAAAAAAACTCTACACGCACACACAACGCTCAGAAAGGCGTTTCGCGACGTCTACCACACGCACACGACGCCCAGATTCAGTTCGGTACGGCCGGGTATGCTAGCGCAGAAACACGTGCATACACCAACGTTCCGTTCTATTCGTTACAGCTCTTTGACGACTACGTCGAACGGCTTACAACAGACGTCCCAATACACAACTACAAGTCCACGCAGCTGCACCTCAGTTTCTACAATATATATTACACTATTCATGATGATCTCATCAAGTACCCGCCCATCCCAACCCGTGCGCCTGCCTTAAAGGGCCCTGGCGGAGAGTCACCGAAAGTACGACGGCAAGACCTCGAAGCTACTTCTTTCAGATCGATATCTTGCCCTCTACGGTGCCGTTTAGTATCCGTAGCTGTAGCTGAAGCCGTCGCCCCCGTCAGCCAGCCCGCACCTCTCAAGGCACTGGCGGCGAGCCGCCGCCGGAGCGTCAGGGAGTGACTCAATCAGCCTCTGGAGAGCGGGATCTTCAAAGTTCAACGAAGCCTGCGCGGAAGAGAGTGAAACGAATGTAGGGAGATCGGGCACACCAAACGTAAGAGCGGCTTCTGTGGAAGGACGGTTCGAGCAACGCGAGACATACTGCACCGACAGTGACTGCGACCCCTTTTTGTGAAGAGCACAACCAAGAGCTAAAAAAAACGCCAACCCTACTGGACGGAACCTGGCACGCGCGCACCTGGATGGCCTCGCTCGGCAGCTCGAAGAAGCGAGTCGTGATCGTAACCGCACCGGGGTCGTCATTGTTCAGAGCGGCCAGGAACGTCACCGGCTCACAGCCAAGGTTCTGCTCGTAGTGGATGAGTCCCTGAGGGAAGAAGGTCACGTCCCCCTGGGAAAGGTCGTTGACAACTGCCCCCTCGCCGCCGTTCTCCTCTACGAACGCCACCCGGAGGTGCTCGCCGTTGATGACGTACTGCATCTATGAGAGTGAGTTTTGAGTTCCATCGGTTGGGGGTCAAGCCTCAAGGAGTACGTCATGCAGAACACCGTGGATCTTCGAGCACAATGCAGCAGCAGTGCTTGTACGACGGTGTTACGTGGCGATACTGTAGGAACAATCTGGCAGGACAAACGAACTTTCGTTCAACGGAATCAACAGACTACGTATGCAGTAGCTTGCTACAATTTTGCACGGCGCATTGACCCTTTTTGTCGACGTGATACTTCTTCTCTGTCCCCTGTCGACCACTCTACATGCACGTCTTTGGCCATGGATCACACGGATGGTTTTTCCCAGTACCAGAATTACATCGTGCGTACGAGCATCAGGTGCCAGCGAGTCAGAACATTCAAGATGCCATGCAGAATAATTCACCTCGGTGGCGCGAGGGTGAATGTGAGGCAGGTTGATGGTGCACGCGTCGAGGTTGACGAGGGCCATGGCAATGCCTTGCCCATCCAGAGCAGGGATCTGGCCGAGGGTGGCCGCACGGATCTGGAAGCCGTCCACCGGGGCATCAGGCTCAGGGCCGCCGAGGGTGAACACGAAGTCTTCGGGGTTGAACATGGTGATTTGTTGCTGAAGGCACAAGGAGGGAGCACCATGGGCAGCATCGAATCAGTGGGGCCTACGGTAGTGCTGGCGGGAGATGAGCGTGCGTCGTGGCGATTCTTGCAAAAAGTAACACTGGTATCAATTTTGGTGGAACAGCAACGAATTCTTCGTGTCTGCAACCACAAGTCGCGAGTTTCGCGCAAACCAAAGCATCGCGTTTGAGTGAGCTACAGGTTCCCAACATTGTCGCTCTCAGCCATCGCCTAGACTAAAGGGACGTTTCGCTATCGCCCCCTGCCTTCATCACGACTACATATGTAGCCAGTCAGACAAAATGCGATATTATGTCTGCGATCTCTGTCGTTCGCGCCGAACCAAGAGCTGGCGTTGCTTTCTCGATGTTTCTCCAAGGTCGGTTTTTAATGTGAAGACAACAACAACACAACAAGGTCAACCTTGCACGGAGTTTCTGGCCGTGCGCAGCCGCGGACAGGGGAAATAACACACACTGCACCGGCTTCCTTGGGTTAAAAGAGCTACATAGTTTCGTGCTCCCAAGAGCTCTACATGTATCGTCACCTGTGCAGTGACGACGCCGGAAGCCTGGGCGGTCGACGACATGAAACCAGCGGCGACAACGAGCCCGGCAGCAGAGCAGAAGGAGGTCTTCATCTTCTTGTTCTTTTCTGGTGTCCGTGAATGGAGAGCTGGCGAAGGGTATGTAGAGTGGAGAGAAGAGGAAAATAGGCCTTGTGCGTTGATGTGGTGTGGTGGGTGACGGGTTGTGAGTGGAATGCGCGGGTATCGAGGAAATGTGGCCCACGGCGCGATGCACCAGAGACGGGCCGGTGCTGTCGGGTAATTTCTGAGATCTTGGATCTTTAAGAATGTCAATCTTTCATCCGCCGCCGAGTGACAACTGCTGTAACGACCCGCGCGGAGAGGTAGGAGCGTGTGTGTAAGGTCCCGACGGTGAAGCCACAGCCGCAACTGTCGAGTACTGGACTTATTGAGTGCGTTAAAGACCTTACTTATCGCCACTGACGCCGCCGGGGTAGCCTCTCTTGTGTGTAAACTATTTCTACTAACTGCTGTCGTGCTCGGGGGGATGAGAGACCGTTGGGGCGGCGAGTATCAATATTCTGCCATGTCATTGTTGGTCGGTGTTCGGGACGTCGGCGGGTTGTCTTTTTCCACTCATGATGGCACTGGCGCGGGGCCCGGCGGCCCTGGGAAGAGAAGGATCTTGCAGGTCTCGATGAAGGTGAGAAAGTTCTGGTGAAACCGTGTGGGCGGGGATTTTTCTGTCATGTTGCTGATGGTCGGAGTTCGGGACGTCGGTGGGTCTTGTCTTTGTCCTCTCATATACACTGGGGTCTGTCGCACCTTCGGAAGGAAATATCTTGCAGTGCCTCCAAAACAGCAGTGAGGGTTCCGATGAAACGGCATGCAGAGACCACGACCAGGTGATGGGGTTGTGTGTCTTATAAGCCTAGACTCTAAACTATGCATTCATGTCTTACGGCCTCATATAACAGCAGTCGACGTAAGACTCCATTTCCAGCACGTATATATATGTAGTGATTGGCACCATAGGTGGAGGGTAGCACCCAGTGCCGGCAAAAACAATCTTGAAAATACACACTCTATGCATACGTGTACACAAATCACAGTGGTAGGAATTTCTGTAGGGGAAAACGACCGACCCGCACGCTGAACCACTCAGAATATATCCTCTGACAGGTGGGAGTGTGCACGCCTTTCAACCCGCTTGTATTGTTCAGCACAGGACGCGCCACCACTTTAGAACTTGTAGGAACTTGTAGCAATCGATAAGTCATAAAATCCAAAAATTAAGGAACTTGGCCAAAGAACAGGTCAGACAGGTGCTCAGTCAAGAAGTTCCACCAAGTAATAGACTAGTTGGGTGGCGGCGAAACGAGCTTCGGCCAAAACATGAGGTTCTTAGGCGGTGGCGCCATCTACTGTAAATACTGGGCGCTCTTCTTCATGCTACTATGGTATGTAGTACAGTCTCCAACTGCTTCTTCTTCATGCATCACTATTTTCTACCCTTTGTTCCCTTAGTAGGCCCAATACTCTATGTAGCATGAATGCTTCGGCGTGACAGATTAGGTTCGCTCGCCTATCGCCGCCCTCTAGATGATGCCAGGGCATGGTCTACACATTCTAAATTATCCCAAGAAAAGAAATACTATTGAAACTATATTTTCTCCGTACAGGGGTCAAACCTTGGCTCAACGTCGTCCTTCTGCAATAAACGCTTCGGGACATCTCCATTTGATGGGCAGCTCGCTTGAAGTAACTATGCACCGAACTCGATGTTTCCGACTAGTTCCTTGTACTCGGCTGTGGCCTTGAACGTATTGAGCAGATTGTCCGCCAACATGTTGACGTCTCCTTCTCCCCTTGGAAGAAAATGTTCGCACGGTCGTCCTGCCAGGACAATCCGCCGAAAACAAACCGGGTGCACTCGCGTCACACAAGCAGTTACGAAGTCGTTCACTACCACCACGTTCGTTCACAATGCACACACTGTCTCTCGTGGTAGTTCTATTCGTATCATCGGTGCGTATGACACGTGAGATGACATGGTTTCACTGTCATCATGGTACCTCACTTCGCGCGGCCCCGTGCAGCGCAAACAAGCAGAGGCAAGCATCCGGCTAGCTACTTTGATTGATCGATCGTAGATTCAAGAGAAAAATGACGGTATCTGCATAACAGTGCAAAAGTGTTATGCCTGATACGACATTGAGAAAGGATGAGACTCCACCCACTAAATATAAGACCGAAGAGGACGGGCTGAAGTGCTTGCGGTAAAGAATCAGTTGCACCGGCCGAACTCCAAACACACACCGTTCCAGAGCTGAGTTGCGCATATAGTGAGTCTCCCCTTCCAAGACTTGGGGCGGTCGTGACATTTTTGGGACATCACCTTGAATGTTCCATAGGACGCCTACGGGACGGCCCATGGGACGCCTACGAGGACACAAGGACTGTCCCACGCATCGCGTGGGCGGCGAAATTCCTGTCCATCCCGTGAGCCGTCCTACACGTCCCATGGGACGGTCCGTAAGATCGGGGGTTAGGCTGATTCTTATACACCGGGATTCCTAACACAAAAAGCTTCACTTTCCAGGATCGGCAAAATTCCGGCTGGACAAAAGTCCGGCCGTTCTACAGTGAACCGGATTTCTCACGCGGATTCTTGGGGGTGGATGTAGATCGAACCCCAGACGACATAATCGGCCAGCGCCTGAGTTCTTGATGTAATCGCCCCCATCAAGGGCTCCGCGACCCTACGCTGAAGGGTTTGCTATTCTGCGCGCTGGCTGTTGATGGTGCCTCGGCACGCGTGCGAAAAATATATATACATCGCATCACACCAAGCACGGAGACGCCGAAGCAGGCCAAACCGCCACGAGACAGAAAAAGAACCGCTTTTTGTCAGAGAGGGGAGGACACCGCAACAAATTTCTCCCTCCCTAGGCCACCGATCGAAGCCAGACCGGTCCGGGCGTGCTCTCTGTTCCTTGTTCTGTGCCGGAGCAGGTTTGCTCAGCAATTCGTTGATCCAGTCATTCGAAATCGTCGTCTACGTGTACACAACAAGCTGTCTGTTGAAAATTGTTTCCAGGTCGTCAACACACCAGTCTATTCTCCAGTGAAGCAGACCAGCAAAAAATCGCAGTTCGAAAAGGCAACGGCCACCAGGCGCATGCGTCTCTCCGTCGATCGAGAGTACGCGCTGCCGAGCAAATCTACTCCGGCAGAGAGCAAGGAACAGAAAGCACGTCCTGACCGGTCTGGCTTCGATCGATGGCCTAGGGAGAGAGAAATCAGTTGCGGTGTCCTCCCCTCTCTGACAAAAAAGCGGCTCTCTTTGCTGTCTCGTGGCCGTTTGACCTGTTTCGGCGTCTCCACATGCTTGGGGTGATGCGATATGATATTTTTACGCACGCGCGCCGAGCGACCATCGACCGTCAGCGTGCAGAATAGCCAGCCCTTCATCGTCGGGTCGCTCGGAGCCCTTGATGGGAGCGATACGTCAAGAACTCAGGTCGCACTCGCCGACTATGTCGTCTGGGTTCACCAGCGGTGAACTCGTTGGGATAAGAAATCCGGCTGGGCACCATCCTGATTTCTGCCAAACTTTTCGGGTGGAGGCAACCCAACTTCGATGAACCCGGACTTTGTCGACCCAACAAAGTGAAGAATCCGGCGGAATAAAAAGCCGGATTTTTGCCCATCCTGAAAAAGTAAAGCTTTTTGGATTAGGAATCCATGTGTATAACAATCAGCCTTAAGCGTAGAGATGATTGTTACCCGCACAAATTTACTGCTGCCCCCCTGGCGCTAGGACAGAGGACATTTCGGTAGTAGCAGCTGTGCGACTGGTCGTGAAGGCTAGGGTCCTTTCTTCGAGGCGGTTTCGCATGTCTACCTGAGTCAGATGCCTCCACAGTCGGTCGTACTCGATCTAAAGGGTCATCAAACACGAGGATCTTCAGCGGTCACACACGGTGCAGGGAGCAGGACCCACAGCTATTTGATTGTCCAACCGCTCGGGCGTGCCGTGCGCACCTACCCTTACCTGGTCAAGCGACGCGTACGCTGAGCGTAAGCAGAACCTCCTGAGCTTTTTCTTGGTACTACCGTCGATGTTACTCTCGGAATTGGAGTTGTCCGTGATGTATTCGCCGACGATCGCGTTGAACTCGTCGAAGTCGTCTTTGCCGCCCCGCTCGTCGCCATCATTAGTTCAATAGACCAAGCTTGAGAATTCTGACACGTCAACCAAGAGCTGGAAAGACACTATTACAAGAAGGGACGTCGGACACAACAGCGCGTTGAGCAACGTCAGGAGGACACCGGAAAAATGCGAGAGCCGCAAGTATGAGAGCCGCGTGTATTGGCGGTGATATGTACAACATTTGTAGAACATACGTATATCGTTCGGGAGCAACGTCACGTGCCACAACGGTTCTCCCGGTTTTTGGTCGCAGTTCTCTCGTGTTAGAGTAGCTGAGAGCGAAGGCTGGCTGCTATGGAAGAGAATTCGCGCATCTGGTAGACCCCATAACTCCCTCGATGGCAATAACACAAAGAGAGGCAGCCGAGGTACTTGAAAAAATCAACTGTCCATCTTCCCTTGAAGCAAGGGATCTGTCGTTTCACCGGACTCCGGTGGGCGAGCGAACACATACGAAGTTCGGTCCGAGAACGGCAAATCAATTATCCTTCCAACGCGCCAATTTTCGGTGGATTCCGTGTCTTCCTCTCTAAGCGTTGGCACCAAGGATCTTTCAACGGACTGCTACCGTTCGGCTCGTGCAGGGGTTACGCGCGCGAGAGAGACATGTCAGGACCGTGGCAGGTTCGGAACCATGCACGGAAAGCGCAGCAATGTGTCGCCAGCGTCAGACTAACGCTTGCAATACCCTTGCCGTTTGTCCTGTCTGTCCAGATGACCCGCACGACATGGGTTGGCCACTCCTTTTGAATTGGCCGTCGACCATCTCACCTCGCTACACAGCGCCTTCTGGCAGTAGCCCCCGAAAGTCTGCCGTAAGGGAGGGAACTCCATGACGGCGGCAAGCGGGGTTCCGTGGAGGTGGCCCATGGCCGAGGAGCTCCCTATCCCATTG